ATCAAGACTTTGTAAAAGAGCATAATAGGACCCCTTTAAATCAGACGATGTCAAAAAAGTTACGTTACCTTTTTATAACCGGTTGTAGGACACTGTTTAACCACGCTAGTACAAATTCAAAATAAAAATACACAGACTACATAACAGTTTGTTTACAACTTACAAGTAGCCTACATTAATATATTGATGGACCCTACTTTTCGACAGACTTTTTGATTACTTTTGGCTTAACTTGTTGATTACATTGATTTCTTGATTTCACATTGATAATCTTGTACCATTATGGATATAAAACAATAATAATAACAACATATTTCATTAATTTAGCATAATATTATGTAAAGGTTTCCCAAACTATGGTTCATGAAAGTACAACCCAGCACTGGTTACTCATTTGGTTATGTTTTTTTAAGGATGGTCTCCTCTTCAAACTGACCATAAATAGAATATACAGTGGGGCAAAAAAGTATTTAGTCAGCCACCAATTGTGCAAGTTCTCCCACTTAAAAAGATGAGAGAGGCCTGTAATTTTCATCATAGGTATACCTCAACTATGAGAGACAAAATGAGAAAAAAAATCCAGAAAATCACATTGTAGGATTTTTAAAGAATTTATTTGCAAATTATGGTGGAAAATAAGTATTTGGTCAATTACAAAATTTCATCTCAATACTTTGTTATATACCCTTTGTTGGCAATGACAGAGGTCAAACGTTTTCTGTAAGTCTTCACAAGGTTTTCACACACTGTTGCTGGTATTTTGGCCCATTCCTCCATGCAGATCTCCTCTAGAGCAGTAATGTTTTGGGGCCGTCGCTGGGCAACACGGATGTTCAACTCCCTCCAAAGATTTTCTATGGGGTTGAGATCTGGAGACTGGCTAGGCCACTCCAGGACCTTGAAATACTTCTTACGAAGCCACTCCTTCGTTGCCCAGGCGGTGTGTTTGGGATCATTGTCATGCTGAAAGACCCAGCCACGTTTCATCTTCAATGCCCTTGCTGATGGAAGGAGGTTTTCACTCAAAATCTCACGATACATGGCCCCATTCATTCTTTCGTTTACACAGATCAGTCGTCCTGGTCCCTTTGCAGAAAAACAGCCCCAAAGCATGAAGTTTCCACCCCCATGCTTCACAGTAGGTATGGTGTTCTTTGGATGCAACTCAGCATTCTTTCTCCTCCAAACACAACAAGTTGAGTTTTTAACCAAAAAGTTCTATTTTGGTTTCATCTGACCATATGACATTCTCCCAATCCTCTTCTGGATCATCCAAATGCTCTCTAGCAAACTTCAGACAGGCCTGGACATGTACTGGCTTAAGCAGGGGGACACATCTGGCACTGCAGGATTTGAGTCCCTGGCAGCGCAGTGTGTTACTGATGGTAGCCTTTGTTACTTTGGTCCCAGCTCGCTGCAGGTCATTCACTACGTCCCCCCCCCAGCCTGGTGCAGGTCTACAATTTTGTTTCTGGTGTTCTTTGACAGCTCTTTGGTCTTGGCCATGGTGGAGTTTGGAGTGTGACTGTTTGAGGTTGTGGACAGGTGTCTTTTATACTGATAACAAGTTCAAACAGATGCCATTAATACAGGTAATGAGTGGAGGACAGAGGAGCCTCTTAAAGAAGAAGTTACAGGTCTGTGAGAGCCAGAAATCTTGCTTGTTTGTAGGTGACCAAATACTTTTTTACCGAGGAATTTACCAATTAATTCTTTAAAAATCCTACAATGTGATTTTCTGGATTTTTTTTTCTCATTTTGTCTCTCATAGTTGAGGTATACCTATGATGAAAATTACAGGCCTCTCTCATCTTTTTAAGTGGGAGAACTTGCACAATTGGTGGCTGACTAAATACTTTTTTGCCTCACTGTAGAAATGGGCAACAACACGATAAATAACCAAAGGGAAAGCATTATTTCGAAATATATTTATATTAAAAAATAGAAATTAAACGAAAGAAACTACTCTTTTTTTATCTGTTCAGTGACCAATCACAAGGTGACAAATTCATCAGTTTATGTATAAAAGTTCAGTTAAAACACTCACTCTCAAAGACTTTGATTTGTCTTAATACACACACACACACACACACACACACACACACACACACACAGAGAGTCTGGTCAGCTATCCTTGTGGGGACTCTCCATAGGCGTAATGGTTTTTCTACTGTACAGACCGTATTTTCTGTACAACCCTACACCTAAACCTACCCCTCACAGGAAACTTTCTGCATTTTTAGATTTTCAAAAAACTTCATTCTGTATGATTTATAAGCTTTTATACCCGTGGGGACCACAATTTAGGTCCCCACCGTGACACAAGTCCCCATGAGTCTGTGTGTAGTCAGGTTTAAGTCCCCACCAGGATATATAAACCAGTACACACACACACACACACACACACACACACTTTATCTTTTAAGCTAAAGGACATGATCATTTTACACAAATCAGCTAGAATGACAAGAACATTTGGAACTTAGTATACTTTAGAATACAGCATGAAACAAAATAAAACTAGTTGCGCATGGATGGTATTAAACTATATCTTAAAATGTGACTTTAATATAATAATTCTACCTTCTTTAAATATTTCATTCTAAACCTTATTACAAGAGGATATCAACAATGATTATATGGTCACCGAACAAATGCAACCAAAATGTCTCTTGATCGCAGTTACCCTTTTGTTCAGCCTTAGCCTGGTTTTCTCTGTCTTGAGTTTTATAGCAGAAAGAAATCACAAAACAGGCCTCAGTAAAGATCATCCATTTCATGAAGGACCTGCCACCAGTGAGACACTAAAAATACAGTTCAGAGGAGAGTAAAAAGAAGAGATGGGATTGAGAAAGGGAGGAAATGAGAACATAAATGTCCCTTCTTAAGAGGCAGTGAACTTTCTGAGCGTGATAACAATGAGAGCGAGAAGAACAGAGGCTCCGAGGAACACGGCGATGACGATAGCTGTGATAGCACCTGGCCCCAGCACAACTGAAAACAGAAATAACACACACAATAAGATCGACTTTGAATGAAACTAAGTTCTTGTTATGATAGACCTCATATAATGACATATCACTATTTTGTAAGTTGCTTTGGATAAAAGCGTCTGCTAAAATACAAAACTATAAAAGATCTCTTTAGCACGTACTTTTCAGTGGTAAGTCAGTGGTATAACTTTACCTTCCTCCTCATCCAGAGTTATTGAGAGTGTACCATCCTCATAATCGAAGGTGAAGGCTTTTTCTGTGAGGTCTTGGAAAGGGACTTTTGTTGTCACATCGTAGCCTCCAGCGCCAGATAGTGTGTCCTGATTATCATTCTGCAGTGTAGGGGAGGAATCAGCAACTGTTTCTGATGGAAGGTAAAAAATGTGAGCGATAAATCAAAAGATATTTACACACACACTTTCATACACACTCACACACACATAGTCGATATATCTATAAAAAAAACAAGAATATAAAAAAATATATATATATAAAATAAAAAGAATTCAGGACAATATAATTAAATCACTAATAGCTACAAGTAATACTACTAAATAAAAAAACGAAAGGAATCTATGATTATATATATGATTATACATTTAAACCTAACAACAGCTACAAAGTAAGAGTACTAAATAAATCAATAAATCAATAAAAATAACCTGTGATGACATAGATACACCTAAATAATAGCTACAAGTAAGAATACCAAATAAATAAATAAATAACGATGATATAGTTAACTAAATAATAGCTACACCTAAGAATAGTAAATAAATAAGACAAACGAAAGGGACCTATGATTATATATTAAAATTACTTAATAATAATTACTTAATGCATTTGCATTTAGTCATTTAATAGCTGCAGTTAAAAATATTAGCGTAAATAAAGAAATAAAAATAGCCAATGATATATTTAAACAAATAAATAATAGCACATGTGAGTTACTAAATAAATAACTAAAAATAATCTAACATGATATATTAAAAGAACTAAATAATAGCTACAAGTTAGAATACTTACTAAATAAATGCATACATAAATAAACACAATACATCATTTTTTTTAAGTCAATCTATTATGTAACCCACTTAAATGTTGAGACTAGCAAGATATCATAAGAAGAAAAAAGTTCTTAAAAATATACAAAAATGGTTGCTTTGCTCAACCTAAGATCTTGCGAAACACATTTGTGTTAAGAATGTCCCAAAAAAAAAAAAGTGGTATTTGTTAAAGTGAGCTGCAGAAGTCGAATGCTTTTTTTCCTTGAACGTTGAGCACAGGGAATGCACAGAAAGTGGCAAATGTCAGTCACGTTCTATATGACTCAATGAGCATCTTTATGGAGGATTGGCACTACAGCTGAGCTATCCCATCCTGCACGTTCCTCCCCTCTTCTTTTCCTCACATCTCTCACTGACATTCCACATCTCCCGCAGGCATGGAACAGCCATGCCACTTTTCTCACCTCCACCATACTCACCGAGCCCAAAGCTGATTTCCTATGTTACAGCTTGCCCAAAGTTCCCAGAGGGCAGCTTATGGACAAAGGTTCTGACCCCAAAATGAAGGGACAAAGACAGACCAAGTTGAACATGGACAAACAGCGGGATTACCTAGCCTGACCCTGCTGGAACAACCCAACGGCATGGGTCAAAAACGAACTAAAACTAAACTCGCACATAACAGACAGCTCGTTTGTTGTTGAAAATCGAAGTATTTACACGCAGCAGCCACGTATACCACCTTTCCATGCAACTAAACACTAAAATGATCATATTGCACCCTAAATCTTAAAATAAAATCGTAAAAATAAAAGGTTAATATTTGGAGTCACCAAGTCGAGGATGGCCAACACACGAGTATTTTTGATAATAGTCTGTTTGCTCAGCGAGACACACACTTTCCTGACTCGAAGCAGGTTGAAGGTACGGCGCGAGGCCAGCGATACATCAATGAGCCCTTCACTTGAGGATACAAAAGGGCACTTGTGTGGTCAGAGAGGACGGCTTGAGGCAGAGGAACCAACGGCCTAAACACAGCCAGTACACTGCAAGTCAAACAAGCTTGTTTATGAAGCCAGTCTGTGGAAAAGCACACACCTCGGCGTCAGCGTGCGTAACCTGTTGATTTGGAAAAAAAAGACACTTTTTTGTGTTTGTCACTTCTTGGCCTGCTTAAACATTTGGCGAGAGGACAAGGCTGTGGACGACTGTGAGATGACAGCATGCAAACAGGTGCATGCGAATGACACAATCCCCCATGTCCTCATCTCCCCTCACGCCCTGTCTAACTATTGTCTAACAAGCTATATAAATAAATGTGACTGGACTTGACGCGGTCTAGTCATCACTAGTCCAAGCTGTTTAGCATTACAGAATTGGTTGTCCTCGTGATTTTTTACATGTAAACGTGAAATAAAGCAAAAAATGGCAAAGTGACATTATGATCATCCAGACTTTTGAAACCATGCATTCACATAAGAAATATCAAGCAACTGTGCCACCACCACTTCCTTTAGACCTTGAATGTGTAAAAGTGCAGTATTCTGGCTGGAAAGTCTGAGATTGCCGTAAAGTGCCATTTTCGTCCACTTTATGAGCAGGTTTGTGCATTTCAATATATTTTATTCAGCACTAAAGAGATGATGGTCATAAATAGCAATCGTTTTACAACTATACTTATTAAAAATTATGCTTTTTTTGGATGTACAAATGAACTTTGTGCAGCTGTTTATGTCTTGTTTTTCCCTAGAGCCTAACAAACTATCTCTTTGTCCTTGTAAGCACTGAACCCAGGACTAAATTCAGCTTCAACACCTGGTTGCGAAAAAGAGAATGTCTGAATCACTGAAGTCAGCATGACGCTTTAGTCTGCAAGAATAAAGATACGTTCAATGAAACATTTCAAAAATCTATTTTGGTTTGTTTATATATATATATATATATATATATATATATGGCATATTTTGATTTTGAAGCCCAAAGCAATTATCATACAACAGAAATCACTTTGCAAATGTTCAACTTTGAATGTCCTACTTTCATGCTCAGCAATGGCTATTCATGGCACCGAAAGGGGCCTTGCAAAATCATAATGGTCAACAAGGCGAAAATGACGTGTGCACAATTTGGTATTACCAAACAAGGTTTTTCTGGACATTCTTTATCATGGCCACAAATTCATAAACTGATTCAACACCTCTTGCATCAAGACCAGCAACAAAATTTTTACTAAAACTGACTAACTCAATTTCTCACCTGTAGCCGCCAACAAATCAGAACCCATTTAATCTTTCCTAAGAACTCAACACAACTATGAGAAGCCCATCACTGATTAGATGGGAAGGAGGTGATGTTACCTGACTGCAAAAAAGCCATGCAGATGGCCAGAGCGCCAATGAAGACGAGCGGAGATAAACCGCTGTAATTGCTGCAGATGCCCATGGTTCCTGGCCGGACTCTTCTGCTCACGTTAATGAAAGAACACAGAGAGCAAGTGAGAGACTGAGTGAGAGAGGCAGGCGTAGCTGGGTTTAGGTGGGAGGACTCTGTATGGACAGTGCAGACTTTTGTCAACTCTTCTGGTAACTGCACACCATCTTCACACCCGGATAAGTGACTCTTTACGGGGCCCGGGCTGCTTTTCTGTTGGATTTCAGATCATAGAGGTGGGTCATGAAGAAGACAATCCAATTTGATTACAATCGATGTAATTAAACTATGTGAAACATCATTAAAGTGATTCAGTTTGATTATTTTTCCATGATTTATAATTATGAGGGACAATTTATAAAATAGTGGAAAACTGGCCCAAAAAAGCTGAATGTTTTTGGATATGCAAGCATAGCACCCTGGGCATTACTATATTTATTATAATCAATTATTAAAAAGTGGTTAGTTCCAGTCCTGGATGTTGATGCAGCATTCTAGCAGGAAAAAATAAAAATAAAAAATCAATCTCACAGCATTTACATTTTGGCGGCGAATTTGTACTAATTCATACAATCACATTTTTACATTTTCGTACAATCTGTTTAGACATGTTTAAGACTTTTAATGTGTAGACCATCCCTTTTTTAATCTAAAAAGAATGTTTTCATATGATTAACATGATGCAAATTCATACAAAATCACCTCATAAAATATCGGTTTACTTCATCCTGTGAAAAATTGTCATGTATTTTTTCTTGTAGTAGCTGTAAAATACAGTCTCATACGTCTTTTTTCTTTGTAATTTCAAGAATTTTTTTCCTGCAAGACATTTTTGCACCCTGCCACCAAACTGAAGTTATGTATATAGTACATATCAATATTAGTCTTAGATGCTGAGCCCCCTCCATAAACACCAGACAGGAACAAACTGCTACAAACTTTCATGTAACGGTTTGTGAAGGGTCTCTTTGGCCTTGAATCTGACCGCTTTTTACACTTTTCATAGAAAACTACAAATAAATAGTAAACTGAAAATTGGGGAAACTTGTATATGACACTAGTATCATATCAACATAAACCATTTCATGTCTTGTAGCTATACTTTAAAAAACATTTGCATTTTAATGTTTACCCTGGACACTGCACATGTTTTTAAATTCTGATGCACTAAAATATTTTCTGTGGTAATTAGGAACACGTTCCAGAATTAGGTCTAATTTTGACTTGAGACTCAACCAAAGAGAAACTAAAAACAAACTGTTGATTTTAGGAAATAAACAAGAAACTCAACCCAAGTAACAAGTTAAACATACAGACAGGGCTGCTATGAATTTCATAACTTTTAGTCAATCATAACGATTGAAAATCACTTACATAAAGAGGTACTGAAAGTCAATGAAATACTTTAGTTGAACGTAACTAGAAACATGTATATTATAGGCATTTCCCATTGAAAAACGTCCTGAAATTTCCAAGTTTTCCATAACCATGGGAATCTGCAATGTGCGTAAACATTTGCACAACCCTGCTTTGTGCATTACGAGCAAAAGCGTGCAGAACAGCCCACACAGGAGACCGATTTATTCATTGTACTGCAATAAAAAAAAAAGTTAGACTCCACTGGTTCATCATTTCCATATATTATAATACAGATGCAGAATTGAAAGTTTATTCTTTAAACAGCCTAATATTTTACAAAGAAATGGGTAACTGTCTGGAACTTTCAAACATGTCCTTAAAACAGGACACTGTTGATTACATTTCCTTGAGTCCTATGTTGTTTTCGACGTCCGTCAACAAAGGGGCAGCAAAGCGGGAGCGGAGAGAAGGGAAGAAAATGGAAAACAAAGAATGAGGGGAGGAACGAATAAATAAAAAAAGGAAGTTGAAATGGGGATAATACATAATTTTTTTCCTCTGCACTCCTTTTATTCACACTTAAAGAAACACCAGTCAGGAGATGAGCATGATCGTGAGCAGACACTCCATCTCGGTGGAGGGACACTGTGATATTGGTTGACTCCTCTCCTGCAGAAGCAAGCCTCTCTCTTCCTTTTCTCAGGTCGCTGTGCTTTTGGTTCTTTTCGTGGCCGTGGGGGAGCGCTGTTATTGCAACTGTGGTTTCCTCTGGATTAGGGAGGACAAAAAACTTGCTGCCCTGAATCTACTCCAAATTAAAGAATTGAGGATACAAAAAGAGCAAAAAAAAACAGAAGAGAGGAAAAGGGTTGAGGAGAATATAAGGGAGGCTGTTCAGAAGGGAAACTGTCAGTAGGGGGGAGCTTGTTGATCAGCAGGCCTCAAAGGTCTTCCACAGTCTCAATCTCGCCCATGTTGAGTCTCTCAGACGAGGCATTGACAGAAAAACCTGCAGAGACATTTGGACTATAATCAGTGATAATCTATTTTATGATAATGAAGCACATTTTTCCTCCAATTCTCATTGCAATGCATCTGGATTTGTGTATATATATATATATATATATATAGATATATATATATATATACAGTGGGTACGCAAAGTATTCAGACCCCCTTAAATTTTTCACTCTTTGTTATATTGCAGCCATTTGCTAAAATCATTTAAGTTAATTTTTTTTCCTCATTAATGTACACACAGCACCCCATATTGACAGAAAAACACAGAAT